GCCTCGAGATCGAGGAGGGGGAGCGCCACGAAGGGGGGGGAGGAGGAGGAGGAGGAGGAGGAGGAGGAGGAGGAGGAGGAGGAGGAGGAGGAGGAGGAGGAGGAGGAGGAGGAGGAGGAGGAGGAAAAAGGAGGACGGAGGAGGGAGGAGGAGAAGCAGCACGAGGTGGAGGAGGAGGACCGGGAGGATCACTGCCCATAGAGAGAAGGAGGAGCAGGAGGAGCAGGAGGGTGGAGGAGAAGGGGGCGGAGACGTAGGAGGAGGAGTCAAGACCTCCGCCGCGAAGGCCTCCATGGACTAGCTTTGAGGGCGCCGCTGTGGGCCCTGGGGGCGGCGGGCGGTTCGTTGTTTGTCCTCACTCTGGGAGGAACGGAACGAACGAATGCGACTAAAGTCGACTGCGACTGGGTTGGGCAGAACACCCGAGAGGATACCCGACGGCAACGTGGTCCCAGAATACAAAGACAAAAACATGCGGGCTGCATAGGTCGAGATGGACGGGGCACAAGGGCACCCTCAATTTGGCATGTTCGACCCACCAATCAGGGCCGACTCTACGGCGAAAGCTGTCCTGATTCGGTAAGGACCCCGGTTGCGCGGAGACGAACTGGCCCCCAGAGCAGTGCTGGGGGAGAGGACAGCCCAGGACGGACGAAGTGGACAGGGGGTAATCGCCCCCCCTATCTATCAGTCGCGAGGGAATTCAACCCCAGGGGCGCGCTGGCAGCCGACAGCGACAGCCAGCGACGACAAAGCGCCGGCGACGACGGCGACGACGACGACGACGACGACCACGACGGCATCGAGGACATTGATGGCGACGGCGACGACGACGAGAGGCAATCGCACAACGGCGGCGGAGATGACGACGAGCGAAAGGGAAATTAAGTCGGGCGGGCGGGACACTAAAAGGAATACGCCCCCACTCGTTGACAAGGTACAATTGGGAAAAATTATTCACTGCGTGGAGCTCCCCATATGTGCATCTACTCGCATGGACCTGTCCGCCGTGAATGTCTAGGCGCAAGAGCTTTCGAATATTAACGGGCTTCAGTTGTGACGGTCTGGACATCAATCTAACTGCGAATGAATTGGAGTGTGAATGAGCCTCAGTAGTACAAGCGCGTCTCTGTGCATGAGCCTGGGGCCTCCTGGGGCCTCCTGAAACCTACTGGGGCTTCCTGGGGTCTCCAGGAGCCTCTTGGGACCTCCTGGGACCTCCTAGGAAGGTTTCGTGCCCCAGGAGAGGCGCAATCTATAGCAACAGACGTACATAAAACATTGCGGATTAGAGCCACAGGAGAAGGGCAATCTATAGGAACACGCGTAAAACACCAAGGACTCGTGCCCCAGGAGAGGCCCAATATATAGGAACATGAGTAAAACATTTAGGATTGTGTACACAGGAGAAGGACCATCTATAGAAACATACGTAGAACATCAAAGAATCGTGCTCCAGGTGAGGCCCAATCGATAGGAGCATACGTAAAACACATGGGATTGGAGCCACTCCTGTTGCCTTCTGAGGCCTCCTGCTCCTGGGGCCTCTCGGGGCCTCCTGTTGCCTTCCGAGGCCTCCTGGCGCTTCCTGTTGCCTCCTGGGGCCTCCTGTGGTTTCCTGAGGCCTTCTGGAGCTTCCTGGGGCCTCCTGGAGCCTCTTGGGACATCCTGTGGCCTCTTGAGTTTTTCTGTGGCCTCCTGATGCCTCCTGGGACCTCATGTGGTCTCCTGGGGCCTCCTGGAGCCTGTTGGAGCCTCCTGTGGCATCCTGAGAAGAATCTGCGCCCACGAGCCTGGCCACCAAAACAAGCAAACCGATCGAGACATCCTCAAAATCTGGCCCACCTGGGGGGTGAAAATGAGCGCCTCGCTCGAGACATCCTCCAAATCTGCTCCGAAAGCGAAGGATGTTGAGCCCAGAAACAAGCAAACCGCCTGAGACATCCCCACAAAATGGCCGCGAACGAGCCCGTGCAACCACCCCTGGCGGCTCCCCTTAGGGCCACGAGCCTGGCCACGAAAACAAGCAAACCGATCGAGACATCCTCAAAATCTGGCCCACCTGGGGGGTGAAAATGAGCGCCTCGCTCGAGACATCCTCCAAATCTGCTCCGAAAGCGAAGGATGTTGGGCCCAGAAACAAGCAAACCGCCTGAGACATCCCCACAAAATGGCCGCGAACGAGCCCGTGCAAACACCCCTGGCGGCTCCCCTTAGGGCCACGAGCCTGGCCACCAAAACAAGCAAACCGATCGAGACATCCTCAAAATCTGGCCCACCTGGGGGGTGAAAATGAGCGCCTCGCTCGAGACATCCTCCAAATCTGCTCCGAAAGCGAAGGATGTTGGGCCCAGAAACAAGCAAACCGCCTGAGACATCCCCACAAAATGGCCGCGAACGAGCCCGTGCAAACACCCCTGGCGGCTCCCCTTAGGGGTGCTGAAACCAGCGCCCCGCCTGAGACATCCTCACAATCTGCTCTCCAAGCGAAGGATGTTGGGCCCAGAAACAAGCAAACCGCCTGAGACATCCCCACAAAATGGCCGCGAACGAGCCCGTGCAAACACCCCTGGCGGCTCCCCTTAGGGGTGCTGAAACCAGCGCCCCGCCTGAGACATCCTCACAATCTGCTCTCCAAGCGAAGTCTGAGTATGACTAATACTGTGTATGAGTAAGTCTGGGTATGAATGAGTCTGTGTATGAGTACGTCTGGGTGTGAGTAAGTCTGTGTATGAGTAAGTCTGTGTATGAGTATGTCTGAGTGTGAGTAAGTCTGAGTATGAGTAGGTCTGAGTATGAGTAAGTCTGAGTATGAGTAAGTCTGTGTATGAGTAAGTCTGAGTATGAGCAAGTCTGAGTATGAGTAAGTCCAACAGGAGGGGAGGAGGAAAGAGGAGGAGGAAGGAGGAGAGGGAGTAGGAGGCGTCCAAGTAATAACAAGACCCCCTCTTAGGATATGGGGAAATCTGTGTCCTGATAGGACGACCCTACGGGTGATAAGGAGGATGGGGGGGACGGGGGAGGCGGGCGATTTGAGATGGCTCTGGGTTCTTTGGCGGTGTCTTCAACTTTCCTATTGTCGTGCGCATCTGCCCATCTATCTATCGACCTATATATCTACATATCGATTTGGGACAACCTTCTATATGTATATATATGTGCATATATATATGCATATGTATATGTATGCCTATATATATATGCATATGTATATATATGAATGTATATGAATACATTCATATACATGTATAACTGTTGGTATGCATCTATATATATATACATGTATATGCATGTATATATATACGCATATATATATGTGTGTGTGTGTCGATACGCCTGTCTATATGTGTATATGTATGTCTATCTGTATATCTATAAATATATGTAGAGAGACCTATCAAAATATCTAGCTATGTGTCGTGCATCTCGCGCGCGCAACGCACGAAACGCTTTGCGGTATGTATGATTCGCATGCGATTCGCTAGCGCAGCGCTCGAAACGCTTCGCCATATTTACGATTCGCATGCGCTTCGCGCGCGCAGCGCGCGAAACGCTTCGCAATCTTTACGATTCGCATGTGTGTCGCGCGGGCTGCGCGCAACCATTGGGAAAAACGTCGGGACAACCATCGGGACAAACATCGGGACAACCATCGGGACAACCATCGGGACAACCATCGGGACAACCATCGGGACCACCAGCAGGACAACCATCGGGACAACCAACGGGACAATCATCGGGACAACCATCGGGACAACCATCGGGTCAACCATCGGGACAACCATCGGGACCACCAGCAGGACAACCATCGGGACAACCATCAGGACAACCATCGGGACAACCATCGGGACAACCATCGGGTCAACCATCGGGACAACCATCGGGACAACCATCGGGACACCAATCGGGACAACCATCGGAACAACCATCGGAACAAACATCGGGACAACCATCGGGACAACCATCGGGACGGCCATCGGGTCAACCATCGGGTCAACCATCGGGTCAACCATCGGGACAATCTTCGGGACAACCATCGGGACAACCATCGGGACAACCCATCGGGACAACCAGCGGGACAACCATCGGGACAACCATCGGGACAGACATCGGAACAACCATCGGGACAACCATCGGGGGGACAACCATCGGGACAACCATCGGGACAACCATCGGGACAACCATCGGGACCATCGGGACAACCATCGGGACAACCATCGGGACAACCATCGGGACAACCATCGGGACAACCATCGGGACAACCATCGGGACAACCATCGGGACAACCATCGGGCAACCACAACCATCGGGACAACCATCGGGGGACAACCATCGGGACAACCATCGGGCGGGACAACCATCGGGACAACCATCCAATCGGGGTCAACCATCGGGACAACCATCGGGGGCCATCGGGGGGTCGGGACAACCATCGGGACAACCATCGGGACAACCATCGGGACAACCATCGGGACAACCATCGGGACAACCATCGGGACAACCATCGGGACAACCATCGGGGACAACCATCGGGACAACCATCGGGACAACCATCGGGACAACCATCGGGACAACCATCGGGACAACCATCGGGACAACCATCGGGACAACCATCGGGACAACCATCGGGACAACCATCGGGACAACCATCGGGACAACCATCGGGACAACCATCGGACAACCATCGGGACAACCATCGGGACAACCATCGGGGCAACCATCGGGACAACCATCGGGACAACCATCGGGACAACCATCGGGACAACCAATCGGGGGACAACCATCGGGACAACCATCGGGACAACCATCGGGGGGGGCAACCATCGGGACAACCATCGGGGGTCATCGGGACAACCATCGGGACAACCATCGGGACAACCATCGGGACAACCATCGGGACCACCATCGGGCAACCATCGGGACAACCATCGGGACAACCATCGGGACAACCATCGGGACAACCATCGGGTCAACCATCGGGAAACCATCGGGACAACCAT